GGGTGTTTTGATCAATCACCAGGTCGTTTTCAATGAAAAACTTGAGTTTACGGATTGTTCTTTGTTCTGGTCGAACTGAACGGAAATATGCGATACAATCATCTTTCAAATGTTCATCTCGAAGGATGGAAGCAGTTTTGACGTGTGCACCTCGTTTTGATGTTGTTAAGCTGTTTATCGCCAAGTATTCGTTGGCCCATTCGTGGATACGTCGTGCAAAGCGTTTTCCTTTTTTCCAAGTGTCTTTGCTTAGTTGCTCTGATGCCTCCATTCTACCAATTCCTTTTGAGATTTTCAGAAAAAAATGATGGAGAGTGCTAAGATGTGTTCTTTCGAAATGGCTGACCTCAGGTGTTTTTTGAAATGGATCAGCATATTTTTTAAGAGCAGAAGCAGCATTTTTGAATTTGTTGATTTGCTCTTCTTTCTTTGTGAGTTTTGCTGCTTTTTGTTCGATGCGTTGCTTCCAGAAGAGTTCGTCTACTCGCGCGGATCCCTTTGCTTTCTCTTGTTGTTTCTTTTTGCTGCTTTCAATTGTCCGTGGGTCACTTTTATTGTAAATCTTTGGCCTTCCTTGTTTGTCAGCACCAGGTTTCCAAACAACAAAGTTAGCTTTCAACAAGCTGGTTTGAACGTCGTTTAATTCTTCTTCGTTCAGGCTAGTGGGATCTTCATCCACAGCTTCTTCTTCCTCATCCGTGATCTCGTCGTCACTAAGAGGGGATTCTTCCTCTTGTTGAATGTCTTGAACTTCGATCTCTTGTTGTTCGCGTTCTGCTCTTTCGCATTCTGCTTTTTCGTGTTCAAGTCTCAATCTTTTTCCTTGTTCGTAGTTGGCTTTACCAACTTTAGCTCTTCTTTTGGTTCCTGCCATTTAAATGCGTATTTAATTATGAAGTTGGTGAAAGATGACGTGGAAAAGATTTGCGATTCAAAATAGATGATGGGGAAATGGTGTACAAAAATTGTTCGTTTCCTAGCTAAAAGTACTAAAAATAGTAGACTTCGAAGCGTCATAGCTCAGCAACAAGTGAGCGCATTAAAAAAAATTAGTATGTTATGTTCCTCTCCTCTAAAGCTATCGATTCTGCTATCTTTTGTGGCAATTAAGCATGCAGAGATAACTCTATGAAGGCTGGAAATCGGGTCTTAAATTGGCCCCTTTAGCTGACACCCACTTTAGCTATTTTTTTGTAAGTGATAATAGAGTATAAACAATTATATCAATGAAACAGGTCTCTTAACAGTATTATCTGCAATCAGGAAGAACCTTATAGCCTTAGACAAATGTCAAAAATTTATAAAATAATTATAATTATGTTTATATTTTAAGGGTTACTTAATATAATAAATAAAAATTCAATTTTTACAAAAAAGTAATTGAGTTTAAAATTGATTTATAATAATCATAAAATATACAACAATTATTAAATTTTATTTAAATCAAAAAGTATTGGTATATCCCCTAACTTGATGGTGAGAATAATATAAAAAAGAAGCTAAAAATATATAAGTTTTTATTACTTTCTATTTATAATATTATTATATATGAATTTAAAGATCTTTATTATTTTTATTATTTTTCAAATTTCAAAATATTCTCTTAATTTTAAATGTTATATAAATTTGAAAATAAACTCTGATTTTGGAAATTATATTTAATCTCAATATATTATTTACTTCTATGGGATTATTGTTTGTGATAATTATTAATCGAGGTCTCATCAGGTTTTCATCTTATCTATTTTAGGGAATAAGTTTTAAATTTTAATAGATAAAAATATAATTAAAAAACTAGATCGAAATTTTATTAATTCTAAAATGTTTTTCATTGTATAGAAGTGCATAAATACAAGTCGACATAGTGTAGTACTGCCACTATCTTCTTGCCTGAAGGATTAATAATCTATGCATGCTTCCTGGTTGGAAAATAATATACACAAAGGTTGAATAGATGTGCCAAAGCTACTAAAAGTAGCAGTCCTTTTAATTTGATCTCTTTGTTGTTTTGTGTGTGCAGGTGCACGTTGAGATCATGGTTATTACCACTATTGAGTATTTTGTTGAGATTTGACTTTTTGGATGCTTGCAGACCTTAGTGTTTAAGTTGTTTCGTGATCTTAATGAGATTTCAGCTCCTGGAACATAGACATTCAATTGCTTGTACGTGTCGTCCAATCTTGTCTCTGTCAAAGTAACCAGCTCAAGCTGTAATTCTTCATTGGTTTAAAAGTTTATCTTATTGGTGTAACTTGCAATTTTCATCATATCGCACTTTAATGTTCAACCAGAATGGAGAACGATTGGTGCGGTGCAATTTAGTGATGGGTACAGTGGTGATAAGTAAGAGTGCCATAAAAGTGAAGGTTTTAGGAAAATGGTAGATCAGACAGGTGAATTTGGAATGTTGGCAAAAGGAGATGCATTTAGGCATTTTGACATGGTTGGGAAGCTGCTCATGCCATAGTTGGTTTCTGATTGGTTCGATTTTTTTATGCAGCAAAATGCAAATAGTACTCGCTTTCTTTTTTGATGTGAATTAGAATAAAAATATCAGTACTTGCAATGAAAAACGAGAATTTAAAAAGAGTATAAATGATGAAAAAGAGTAGCTGCTACTCCAGAAGGTAAACACAGCAGTGAATGTTGGTGAAGGTAGACACATCAGTACAATTCTGTAGTAGAATATCTTGTTGTCTTTACTGCTGCTATTAAATTTAGAGCCATTGATGGCTACTTAGAAGTTGTAGGTTACAGATTCAATTTCATATTTATTGTGGATGAAATAGAAAACTACTGATATGTATGATATTATTAAAATGACGCATTTTTGAAATGATACTCGTTTGTATATGCAGTGATTTTCTGTGGTTGCGCAAAAGCGAAAATGCGCCTATCGCGTGCTTCGCAACGCGTTCTATACTTGATAACCCGTTGTGTGTTATGACACAGTATCAATGTCTTTTTTATCGACGTCCACCTGCCTCGCTTCGCTCGGCTGAAAGAACTACTACGCTGAGCTCCAGGTCTTTCAACGATTTGGATGTTTCCCAGGGGGTTCCCCACTGGACCCAACATCTCAAGCGTTCGAGACTAGATCAGAGTTTTGCTTTCTTATCCAGCACAAAATTAATGGCATCCACAGCCGATATTCAATTTTATTTCTATATTCCTTATTGCAAGTTTAATTGCAAATACAAAGGGGAAGACAAACACGGAAAAGGAAATATGATGGACAGGCAGAACATCACATAAACTTCATTTAATGTCCCCCTTCCTTTCCAATTGTTTTTCCCTTAATCACTGTAGGAAAATTCTTGTGGTTCTTGTGGATTTCTTGTGAATTTGGACCCCGCCGGCCTCATTCTTGTGGATTCTTGTGGATTTCTTGTAAATTTGTGACGTCTGTCACTGCCTGCTCTGGGTCGCCAATTTTTTTTGGTGGTTCTTGTGGATTCTTGTGGATTCTTGTGATTAAACAGTACTCTCTTGTTATAACCACCTGGTTTACCAGGGTGACAAATACTTTTATATTACCGCAAAAGTTTTTTTTCTTTCTTTTCTTCCCAAACACTAACCAAACACCTCCGAACGCTAACCTTAATCTCCTAAGTCTTCACTCGTATGGAGCATCGTCTTATTAATGTAGAGACAAATCAAGCAGTCATTCTGGAGAAGCTCGACCAACTGCTAACGGCGTAGTCCCTAGTCGAGGTACCAGTTGTCGATGAAGCAGAACTTGCTGAGACGGTTTCCCTCATTCCCCACCCAATGACTCTAAATGCCAAGGGAAGATGGTAAAGAAAGCGAGCAAGGATGATGTTGAGCGCCTTCTCCTTCAAGGCTACCACCATTTTGAAGGAGGTGCCTTGATCAAAGCCCAGACCGACATCAAGCACATTAGCGAACGTGTTGTGGTCGATCTGGTGAAAAGATTGCAGAATCGTGCTGACAACAGCGTGACCCACTACTTTGCTAAGCTACAAAGCAAAGATAGGCAACTGGGCTATTAGCCTTTTCATGAACCTGGCAAAAAAGCAGGGCATTGATTTTGCTGTCTGCCAGGGCCAGTGGGCAGCTCGCCATATCCTCTAGGAATGCTGGCATAACTACGGCAGATCCAGCAAGTCGAGAGCGGTTTCTAGGTATGATAACTACTACACTAGAGCAACCACAATCAAATATATATTAACTATCAGGTAGACAACAAGAACCGGCTTCTGCTCTTCCTGTCTCTGCTTCTCTTCCTGCTTCTGCTTTTCTTCCTGTTTCCGCTTCTGCTTTTCTTCCTGCCCCTGCTCCTGCCCAGTTCACGCAGTCTACCAAACGACGCCGTACGACAAAGCGGCTCGGAGCTGCTCCCCCCCACAAAAATATACATAATTAAAAGGTAAGTTAAAGTATCAGAAAGTTGATTATTGTATAAACACACACACATACACGTATATATATAGCGAGAGTGTATGTGATATATATAGAGAGAGAAAGGGGTGGTTTTCATCTGTATACGCTCGACCAGTATTCCATCAATCAATAACCTTAGCTAGTATCATGTAATTGAATAAAGCTATTTTTTAAAATCTATATAATGAATATTCCACAAAAATGTTTTGTGATTTTCTTGTGAACGTGTGACCGCTTTGGTATTCCACAAAACGTTTTGTGGTTTTCTTGTGAACGTGTGACCGCTTTGATTTTCTTGTGAACGCGTGACCGCTTTATCGCTACTTTAAATTCACAAGAATCCACAAGAATTCTTGTCACTTTACTTAGTGTTTACAAGAATTTAAAATTCACAAGAATTTTCCTACAGTGAATATCTCTATTACACTTAGAAACAAAGCCAAACATAATTAGATGACCGTATAGAAAGTGTATGAAAAGGAAGACTTGGAACACGTTATAGCTAACCTTGCATGATATCTCATGTTTGGGCAATAACATTCAAATTTATTGCGATGGCAACCAACAACCAATAAAAAAATGTGTGACGGACAGACAGACAGGCAATCGAACACAACACCACGAAAGCTGTTGGATCGCTAAACGTTTTGCATTCACTTGGCCTTAGCGCGTCAGGTTTTACATGCGTCCTTGCAGCACGTATCTATGCTCAGTTCATTCGCCCCCAATGGTTTTGCTATCCGAAAGCCGCTCAAAAAACACATGAAACTGCTCCAGGATACACAAGCCACCTGTCTACGCCGTATCTATGGTAGCTCCTCTCGCTCTTCATCAGTATCCGTCATTCAACACCTCGTCAACCTCCCAAATATGTCTTTGCGAATCGCGGTTGTTGTATCCAACATGATCAATAACACATATTCTTTAATCGGTCATTAACGATTGCTGTTATTTCCCTCATAACCTCACTTGTGCGGACATTTCTTTATTCATACACATCTTGGTGAAACACCGATCAGCTATGCTCAGGAAGAAGTTGTCATTATTGGGATCACGTAATTCACATTAGCTACTATCTGAGGCATTTACCCGGATGTATCTTTTACTCACGCATCATACATTACTTAATCCTATATGATTGATTTATAACATCAATTCATTCGTTCAATGCACACGCTGTGGTAGTTGCCAAGGATAAGCCATTTCTTATAAATAGTGAGAACTTTTGTTATCTTAATAAACTAGTTTCAATTCCTTTCGGGTCTCGTTGACTTATTCTGTCTCTTTTGGTTTATTGGATATTACAGCGGTGCTTCAAGCCAAGTTCGTCAATCGTGGTCGATGGTTACCGCATGACGCTCTACTGCCAATATTACTGTCACACCTACGCGGTACCCGCAGTAGTCGTTTCTCACAGCTAGAACAAACCATCCTTTGGAAACAGCTGCCCCCACAAACAGAACCATATGACAAAAAGCAGCTACGTCGAGCAACCTGTGCTCTCGCCGATGTTCAGTTTCATGGCGCACGAGCTAGCACGCGCGCCAAACTTTTACTTGCATGTCGCACAACACTCGGCGTTGGCTCTATTGTTTGGTTACCTATGACCCGCCACCAACGCAGTCGTCTACTTTGCTGGCGCCTAGGGTGGATGCCCAATGGACGTGCCGCTGCTATCTTGCCGCAACTGCCCAGAACACCGCACCTATCCCGCATGCATGTAATCCTCTGTCTCCAGGCACATGTCAGGCTCAATCCTCTGTCTCCAGGCACATGTCAGGCTCAATCCTCTGTCTCCAGGCACATGTCAGGCTCAATACTCCATCTATTGTGCTTGATCCAATATCGTTTGTTCTCTACTCGTTCCCAAAGGCACGACCAACCAACGCGTCCAAAAAGCAGTTTTGGAAGAACATGTGGCAGCAACTGACGACTCTGTTAGCGGATATCGACGCCCTTTGCCACGACGACGGTACAAGTAGGCCTAATCCCACAGTTCCTTCAACCATCAGTAACGACTTCATCATCTGGCTTGAGCACAACCCAAGAAATGCAGATCCACCACAAACCTCCCCATCTCCTCTTTATTCTTCACCATAAGTTTCTTCTCTTTTCTTTCCTCCCATCTCTCTGTTTGCTTTGATTGCAAAAAAAAAAAAAAGAAAGAAAAAAACAAGATAGTTCCCCCCCTCTGTTCGTTATCTTGGAACGGATCCTCCCCTCTCTTTTCACACCGTGCTTCTATTACTTCTACTCTCTATTTGTAACTAGCACGCCCACCACACACTCCTGTTAGACCTTATACATCTTCTAGCTCATTTTCCCCCTCTGATTATGGGGTTTATTCACCAGTCGTTGAGATCGGGCTTTAGCGGATATGCGATTTGCGACGCGCTTGTATGGCCATTTATTATTTCTGTAAATAATAATAAAGTTGATATAAGATTGATCCAGATAGACAGGCAGACAGGGCGATTTTCATACTCCATATAGAACGCATAAAAAGGATGATCTCCCTCCTCATACTCGAAAGAACGTGAAGATAGCGATCGTAAATAGTGCATTGCAGCCGGCGGAGGCAAATGTTTACATTTTGCACGTTTCGCTTTCCTTTTTTTCCTATGTTTCACAGCAGCGGGGCGCACACAGCAGCACAGAGACTGTTTTTGTCTACTTTATCAAAGACTATTACCATATGCTTTCAAAGCGAGGCAACTAGTCATGTATTACTCATAAGGAGTTGCAGCCATTTGTTTCATGAGAGCACATTTTCGCAATGACGAAATTATTTTTTTGAAAAAGGGATCAATAGAAACTGATGATGCACAAGGTATACTGTACTACGACATATGGATCTGGGCTCCCTGCTGTTGTATTATTGGCGCGAAGATATTTCATACTGCACATTCTAAGTTGGCGTCTCTACAGGTGCCGTCGATCTTTTGTGCTGTAGCTTGTATACGGCATACAGGAGCAGCTTAGCAGATTTATTATCGGGTAGATACTCTCAAGCTGTTATACAGGAGCCAAAGATGGATATCACTATCAAGAAGTGGCAGCAGTAATAAAAAATACGCTGCTAATCTTTAGCTGATCTCTCACATCAATCTCAAAGTCCATCATGAAGAAGGGGTACAGCACACCAGGAGACGAGAAAAGAAGAAAGACAAAGTGTGTTATGATTGTCTACAGTATGCTTTGACTTTATTACGAACGTTTGCTGCCATGGCTCTTTGACATGAGGAGCAACTAGTAGACTACAGAATGATGTATATAAATGTTCAAGCAATCTACAAGAATTTTTAAAATAGTAGGCGAAACCTGTACCATATGGTGGCGAACACGAATATAACTACATACGGCAGCATTCTTCGCATAAGGATCAAATGCATGACCCACGCGTCATAGTTTGACTGACTCAAGATATTCTAGTGCTCGCTTGAGTATGTTTAAGGAATGACGATTACTAAGTATTCACGTCCTCAAATGTTCTTTTTACTGGTAAATACAACAACACCTTGGTTAAAAGTCGACCTTTCAAAAGTACACTCTTTCGTTTGCTTCTTTTCATTGGTTGCTCGGAGCTCTTTGAAAGCATTTGCTTCAGATGCCTCATTCCGCACTCCACAGTAACAACTCACTTGTTGGAAAAGATCCGATCAGAGGGCGCACCGTGTATAACTTATTTCTATATGGCAAACGTTATCGTTTTTAAAAACATTCGGCCGTTCGTGTCAGCTGGGATACTAGATAATCGGCTAATAATATTATTGCTTTATTCTGTTTTTTTAAGAAGAAGCGTGGTCATGTTGTGGTGGGTAACACGGGTTCTTCTGTTTGTTATTAACGGAGATATTGACGCTCCGGGTAATGTGAATATGCTTTACCCGACGAGCCTATCATTATGCACGGTGTAACGTGGAAAGGGCTCGAAGCTACTGTACTAAAGAAGGCCATCATAGTATCGCTTGCCACCGAATCAGCTTTCAACAAGCCAAAAAAAAAAAGAGTCCCCGTTCCATCACAGGCTCGGAATATCCAACCTTAGAAGAACTCTGCAACGAGACAAGCAACCAGAGCGTTGATGATGGCAACATTCTACGACTACTGATAATGTAATCCTGTAACACTATTCCATCACAAAGTGAGCCGTCTTTGGCTTAATGTGGAAAGTATGGTAGCTTAGATACAATCTAAAAATGAAGAACCACACTTTTCGCTTTTTGTGTAGTATTTCGAGCCTCCTTTCTCAAAAAAACATTCCACCCATGACTCAATGTTTCTTACCAAACATCTATCCACAGATCCATGATCTCTCATCAATTCCGGTTTATGGTGATCGTCTGCAATTTTCTGTGCACACTATGGCGTACGGTGCTGCGTGAATGATTGGATAGTTGTTGCGCGTTTGACCAGCATCAGATGCTGTACACGAGCATCTGCTGTCCGTCCCTCGTCAATGAACTTTCGCTCTCTCCACATCCCAAATATCTTTGCTTGTTTCTTTGTGGAAATATTTTAAACGATAAGCCATATAAAGGTGGCAGGATCGGCTACTGCTTGTTTTCGCAACTCAGGTACCGCATCTGGTGACAGAGTCACGATATGGGCAAAAAGTAAAATATACAATAACGTCAGGAACCAGGGCTCAAGTTTGCCCTATTAAGCTAGTTTTGTATGTGTGGTCAACAATCACGCTTCGCGAAGTTACCAAGCCCAACTTCATACAACCATATCATCACGACAAGCTCAACTGTGTGTGGTGCATTGGAAAACTGTTCTACTCGCATGATATGCACGTTTTCCATAATACCAGCAAATAGCTGACATCAGTAGCGCGGTAAAATCAGCTTTATTCGACACGAGATTTGAACGTGGCCAAAACAGTTGTTTACTGTATGTATCGCCATTGCTTTTTTTTTCCTTCACCGTGCCAGCTCCGAATTTGTATCACCCCAAGTTGAACGCAGAACCCTCCGGTGTAACGATTAACATATACACAAACATTGGGTAAGATACAGTAATAGCGTGCTTGGTTGGCTTTTAGAAGGAAGAAAGCAGATGGTATAATAGAAGCGAACAACATGCTCCTTCCTTCTTTTCACGGACTCCCCTGCGCCCTGTCCGTTCTACAGCCCATTAACAAGAGAGAGAGAGAGAGAGAGATCGCATAGATAAGATGCGATAAGACGGATTGGCATAATCGACCATTAGATTATGTACACAGCACATTAGATACGGTGTGTTTGGTGCTTTTTTCTTTTCCTCCCCACATATTCCGTCAGCCCCTTGAAACGGAAAACTGGTTCGGGAAAATTTGCCACATTGGTACGCAGATAGGCAATCGTGAAGGAGAAAGTGGGGTGACCGAAGCCCTTTTCCGCTCCGATATACGGCAAACAGAAGATCTCATTGCTTCCTATGAATCAGTTCTGCAATGTACACGGTTGATCATCCATTTGTAGTTGCTCACTTCTTCCAGCTCAAGGGCCGTAGCAGCATCATTGATGTGTTATTTAATCCTCAACACGTCGACACGCTGGTGCAACCTGAATCGTCTTTTTCAAGTCAGTTTGAGTAAAAAGATTCTTAATGCACAGGTCTTCCTACTCAAAGGGTTAGGCACAACAGCAAAAGTATATGCTCAAACCACTTGCCCATTTATCAGATCCACTTCTGTGTACCATAATGGGCTGTCGTTGTCGTCCGTTGCGAAGGGTTAACTGTGGAAAAGTTTACATGTCAGGAATTGTTCTCCCAGCTCATGCGTGACCCCTTATCCGTTACCATATACAGGCCGGGTGATGCTCTAGAAAACATATTTTCTGTAGCTGGAAGAGAAACGGTTTCTGATGCCAAAGCATACACACACGTATCATCTCTATATTTTCCAAGTTATATAACATCAACAGATATTAGGATCATCTTTCGATTTGACCTTTGAATTCACCCAATCCTCTTCGCTTATACTGTTTGTTGGACTAAGATTGACTTGCTGATGAATACTGATAGAAAGTAGGTCCTGATTTTATCTCTATTTCTTTTGTACATCATCGACAACACGTGGGCAAAGAGAAGACGAGCTTCAAAAGGCTCGTTTACAGGGCCCCGGCATTCATATACTCCTTGCTTATGACCAAATTATTGGATTTTTGAGTGAACTCATGAGAAGATGCGCTCGTAATGTCGATCGTAGAAATAAACAGCCACCTTTAACTTCACTCTCAAGTACCTCTCCCTCTGGAACACCGGTAACTACGATGATATCTGAAGGAGGGTTTAGGCGATACACTACAAGATACGTGGATTCATATAACAGGAAGTGTTATTGATTCTTTTTTAGTTCTAAAAGTAGGATCCAAATTATGTAGGTTCTTAAAGATTTATGTATACATTCATCCGAACACAATCTCCCAACTAGAATTTGCTGAGCTTCGTACCCGAATAAAAAGGAGAAAGGAACAATAGTTCAGTTTCTAATAAGGTCATGCATGACAATAGGATGACAATATAGCCTCTGAATTATGTTGGATCAGACCATAACAGAATAGTCTCATACAATAGGACTCATTTACCAGGCATTTTTGGGGATTATCTTCATAAAGACGATGACATCCAAAACAACACCAATAATATCGCCTGCTAATTTAAAGTAGCCTTTACTTCCCTCGTCTATCGTTCTATAAACAAAGATTTCACAATCAAAAGTAATAGTTTCCATAAATAAAAAGGAGACGAGTGCCAAAGTTCAAAGATCATATCTGTACGCCAATAGATGTTATACGACTAGCCACTGCCGCGGCCGAAGATGACTCACGCATCTCAGAGGTACTGCGGGTTCCTGATACCTATCACAATGAACTGGATTTTACTGATCCAAGCCAAAAGATGTCTGTTATGGATCTCACAGTTTGCTACAGCTCGACGCATTGACACCAAAGTTGGCCAACAAGAACATCGCACCTGGCGTCGACAACGTACGGGAGATAGATCACAAGTATTTATAAAGATACGGCGGAGATACAATGTCCAACGCCAGCATCACATACTGCTTCGTAAAGCGTTCTTACTTGCATCGAGGCTTCAAGAGCATATGTCGACGGGTCATCCGTCGGCGGCATTATCACCTGCAACAAGGGCGCAGTGAAGAGATGTCTGCGCTAAGGTTCTTGTTTCCGACGAATGTTCATTGCGGCAATCCTCCTGTCGTATGGACAACCGTGCCCGCGTTGAAGAGCTTACTCAACTACAAAATGGGCGTATTCTTTGCAAGCTGATCGCCCCGTCTACTGGACGTCTGCACACAAGACATTTATGTCCACAACCTCATATTCGAAACCTCGCGAGATTTCTGCGTCCGACAAGTATAGCGCCCGCTACTTAACCCGCACTACTGGCAGCTCTGTTGACCACGTATCTTGTCAATAAAGCGTATTGAGTGAAAGGACGATCACAGCACTCTTTTAGTACAGGCTCGGGAAGTTGGGTGGACTCCTACAAATGTCTGGAGCTTTAGCGATAGACGATGGCGCCGGTACATCCATTGAAGTAGATCAATTTTTATATACAGAATATTTCCCTGTTCCATTGGATCAGCTATCATGTATACGTAACACGTACTGTAGCTCTTATATATGATCTCACAAGGCACTGGAAAATGCCCAGATAATTATGCTCATTGTTGATGAAGTTTTTGTCGAAAAAAGAACGTGGTCGAAAAATAAGGATTCACGCTTTTGTAGAATGAAGATATAAGGGCATATGATCGACCCAGAGTCAAGCTGTTTAGCAGAAGCAGTGAAGCGTTCTTTATAAGATTTTTTTGTATTTTTGTTTCTTATCAACTCGATAGATTATGGAGTTTTAGATTAAGTTTATAAATATCCAGGATAATGAGTGAAATGAACGAGTGAACCAAGCTAGATGGATCGTTCAAGGTGAAGTACTTGTTATTAGGAGGACTTTTACATACAGCTTTGCCCGGTTTAACTTGTTGTCAAAGTAGGGATATTAGTATTGAGGATGAATAACAATGCTAGAAGGGGACAGCTTGCAGCTAATATAGCCTTACATTGCTGATGCACTTTATCCATTCAGCTCGATCCACTTCAACTCAACCCACTTGAAAGTTCTTTTGTGCTTGGAAGAAAAAGTCCTGTTCTCCTTCTACCTTTGCCACGCCAGCACCAAGTTTGAAAGTTGTATCACACCAAGTTGAGCGCAAAACCTGCTAGTGTAACGATGGGTATAATACAAACATTGCGTAAGAAACGTGCATACTTGGCTTATAGGAGAAAAAACAGATGGTATAATACACTTCCTTCCCCTGGTCGCATACTGTCTACGCCTGTTTGTCTTACAGTTGGGTTACATGTAATAGAGATGACATAGATAAGATGAGATTAGACGGATTGAAGTACATAGCAACAATCCTACAATGTGTACGATTGTAGTCTTCCCCACACAATTTTTTTTCTCTCTTGAGCCCCTTGAAACGGAAAACTGCCCAAGAGTTGGTTCGGAGAAATTTGCCAAATCGGTACGCAGATAGGCAATCGGAAAAGAAGAGAGTGGGGTGACCCTTATTGCTCGCGTGGACGACTTTTTTTCTAGTGTGCCGAAAAGGCACAGAAAAAAAAAAATATGCTATATTGTAATTTTCGTTTCCGCTCCGATGACCAAGTAGGTGGCATATACCGTATTGGCCAGCGGATGGCGATTATTTGTGTCCAAATGACAAAATAGACACAGTACAAGAATCACAAGGAGCTTTATCATCCCGACCAAAATGTTCGCACTACATACTATTAGTATCACTGAGGAAAGCTGACAATCATCCATCCTTCAATACACAGCTGAACATAACCTTGGGACTAACCCATTTCCCTTGGCAATGCAAACCAATCATAACGCGAAAGTATGATGGTCATTCCAAAGAAAACGTCATAACCTAGTGGTAGCCCCCAATGCTCTTACACTATGAATATGTCTTATGTACCCGATACCACATGGTGCTAATGTATGGCTGACAGGAAATGGAGAGAAAGAAAAAAAAACGTCACAACATGATGTTATATATAGCATATATGCAGAATGCAAAGTTCCAGTGCAGAATATAAAACATATATTTTGGGGAGAGAGAGAGAGAGAGAGAGAAAGTGTGTGTGCAAGGTGTAGTATGCAACAGATGCACAGAGTGCATTATTCTGTCTGTTGGTAGCAACAACGACAACAACATCCCTGCTGCAATAACAGTTTGAATATACCGCTATACATAGCGAGATGGGACAGCTACGCTATTTGGTAGCATACCCACGGAAGCTCTTTTCGACGTGTATATAGACAATATGCTTATCGATCAGATAAGGGTATTTTGTGAAACTGGCAGCATTGCCATGGAGCAACAAACAAGAAACGTTGGCTTTATAAGGCTCTTAGTCTAAGCACGTATGCAGCGGCATTAACAGGCCACAAAATAGATTACAGATCAAAACATATAGTAGGCTCTTGAGATCAGAGCCAACAGAACATACATTTGCTCGCTCAACATTCTCAACTAAGAAGATGCAATCATCCGTAGCAACTATGTATAGAACAGCCCTTCTGTTCTCTTCCTAGAAGGCAGAGAATAAACGAAAGTAAGCTTCCACAGATTGTGAGTATAGAGGCTTTTTGAGTGGGCGAAGAAGATTATCACAATGGAAAGGGCAATGATTATCTCCCAGCAAAGTCGCAGCAGGCAGGAACGGCAGGTATAAGGCAAAGCGCTTTAGGTAATTGAATGCCCCCGACGGACCTTCCAAAATGGGAAAAGGGAAGGGCTAAACTTCAAGGTGATTTCATGCCGTCGTCGTCGCGATAATTTTTTTTTATAAATACCGATCTCTGGAGCACTCTGCGCTTCCTTTTCTTTTCGCTACTACTTACATCCTTTCCATTTCTCAGCACAGTCCTCTCACACACACAGCTACAGCTAATAGCTCCACTCGCACTACTACAAGTCTAAACATGCAAGCATACGGATCAGCAGCAATTCGAGCATCCACTCGCACCTTCCACAACCAGCAATACAAATTAGCAGCACAGGCAGCAGCGATGCCACGCAGCTTCTATTCCACCACACAGCCTCCCAAGCAAACAGCCGGCGACAGCAACAATGAGACGCTGCAGTACTTGGACCGTCTCAAGGACTCTGAAATCGAGTTCCAGAGCAAGGGAGAGCATGTCAGCGGCGACTTCTGGAAGACTGAGCCGGGCAAGTACAACAGAGCAGAGAAGGATGTAAGCATTCAAAAATCTTTTTTTTTTTTTTGGTACATTTGCGTTTTGCCCAAATTTGCCCTCCGTGAGAAAAAAATAAAGGTGGCTAAATCTTCCCTTTCTTCTAGATCGACCAGAAGGGCAGATAAGCAGAACGAACCAACGGCTTATGCTTGGATACTGGGGAAGGATGACGATGGGAGCAGTAAGCAGAGCTACTTCTACTATGGTCTCTCTCTTTCTCTCGCTCTTTGTTTGTTTGTTTGTTTGTTACTTATCCATCTATGCGCTCTATACAACACCGTGTATATAAACCCTCGTCCTGTCTCTCTTCTACTTGCTGCTAACTAAAAAACCTACTACATCCTATACTTCGTACCATATTACATTTCTATCCCATCATCACATTACCATACATAACCCCCCCCCTTTGTGCCATTGTATATTCTCTCTATCTTCCTTTCGAAATAATAAAAAGCCACACACACGCTTACTCTACACCACAAGATATATCCTGGTTTGGCAACTGCCCTGTGGCATGTTGTGGGGAAGCAACTTGCCTTATTGGATCTTCGGCTTTGGCTGCGGATCAATTGTCATATGATGTTTTCTTCTCCACACAAGTGCATCTGACAGAGCGTGATAAAGCACATGGGTTTCGGAAGCCTTGTCTCCACTTTCCCTTGCCTTTTACAGTGCTCCGTTGTTTGGGCCCGTCCCACTGATTTTCATATGAGTAATTAATAGCACGTCCCGCCCGGCATGCGCTGCTGCTGCTGCTGCTGCTGCTGCTGCATGCTCCACAACTTCTTCTCACAAAGACCGTTGATTGTATCCCAAAGAAGGGGCCGAAACACCGGAAAAAAGTGCTAAAATCGCGGGACTCCGGTAGTACGAGTGCTAGGCTGGAAACGACGGTAAAAAGAAGAGTCAGTTATCGTACATACCCTTTTTGCCTTCCTTCTCCCGCCATTGCTGATCACAGGCCGGCCGGCCATGTATCCATCCATCCACAAGGGACAGCTGCATTCAAGCACGACGGAGGAGGAGAAAAACAACGGAAGTTTTGTTTGCAAAGCACATGAAACATTGACAATCACAATTTTGCCTTGATGTTCACATTCCGCTGACAAAGCACACTCGTTTTCGCGTGCGCACATAATATGAGAGAGTAATCAATTAACATGAACAGCACGTCTGGGGCATCTGCTCATCTTTCCCTTCATTGCGCACATGCACACAAACAAACAAAGATCCTCCTTTTGTTAAAATAGGTCCTTTACTAGTAGTATCTGCACAACCGTGTATAAAATCAACGATCATCAAACTGCCTCTTGCCCGTTCCACGTTTGATTGGTTCATGATTACATAAGTTTTGAAATCCAGCCGCATTTTTTGCCACGACCCAGAAAAAACAAAAAAATGCTACATCTCCAAACGTGCGCGCACCACCAACCCTTCGGCTTTGTTCTGTATTACCGATAAGGTTGGCGTAGTACAGACGTCTCGAAAAAAAAAAAATCGGAGACATGCTTTTACGCTTTATGAGTGGTCCCTGCCTCGCTTCGCTCCGTGTCAATCAACGTGCACGCGTCGCAAGAAGCCCCCAAACCTCCTACGGAGCGAGGCTGCATCAGAATTTTCAGTATTAAACGCTTGTACGCATCATTTTCGACAACAAAAGGGATACCACCCTATAGAATACAGACCAATAGAAAAACCTATTGAAACCTTGTAGTCCGATCCAAGTCCAACGAAAGACGTAAAACATAGCTTGCAGCAGGTCATGATCACCTACGGTGATGATCGTAATACGCAAGCTTATTTTACAGCAAAATTGTATCCTAAAACGTGGTTATATTATTAAGCGTGGCTATAATCGTCAATATGTCCAGTATATGCATAGAGTGTTTGAAGTGAAGTATGTAGTATAGCTTAGGGTGATTCATAATCTTGGTGAGAAAATTGCATTACTACATTCTTTAACAATAAAATAGCTTCTTTCTAACCTCACACTCAATAACCTTCTGATAACCAAACTCGTACAAAATGTGTTTATGACCCGGTATTGGTTTATAAGCCGTAATAACCAATCTTTCAATGGCAGCTCATTCAAAGTTTCTTGTCTTTCGTACCGCACAATTATAGCTTGAACACATCAAGCTACTTAACGATAAATAAGACCTATAGTACGTCCATATTTCATTTTGTCCATGCAGTCTGGATATATAAGTGCTTTCGCAAGTCTAATGAGAATAGCGCCATCATCGTGAGTGAGTTATGGCTTACTCTCAAATTTCAAGTCACTCGCACTCCAAATATACTGCACACATGTCATACGCTTAAAACCATACATCCTGTGCTTTGATACACTCCTTTTTTTCAAGTCTAGATTTGTTTGCTTTCTGTAAGTCTGACGTTTATCTTTTGTAAAACAGTTTGGCTTGATGGAATAAAAATCGAGTGGTAAGTCACTTTGTCTTGTAAAACCCCCTGACAGACCGACAGAACCACGTGGATTAACCACTAATCCGACTGATAGTCGACCATCTGAGTGTTCAACAGCATCGTATTCTATGGGCATTTAATAGCACTCTACTACTAGAAAAACGGTTTGGACTTTGGAGAAAAGCGATACATGTAGTAGTATACCGATGTAGGGTTATTGAAAAAGAGCCTCTGACAAATCGTTCTCATTGCTACTGTACCAGCCTTCCACTTACGCCCCGCCACCTGTGTGTATACGGTGCGACGTTACCCTGTTCTATTTTCTCACGACACGACATCGTACAAATTATCAAATGAGCCAAGGCTAACTGTACTCATGACGATGATTCAGGCCATCATTCTGGTCTACAATAGCATTGACAGGTTTCTACACCCCAGGATTGGTAATGTATCTACTCAAATGTTGTAACTCTATAAACTTTCACTGTGTATAATGCCAATTCACTAAAATACAGCTGTCGTATCGCTGAAGATGGTGTTGTGGAGAGGCTTACGATGCTACTCGTTGGAAAATAGGTACTGAACGTGGCAACACTATTTTCTGACTTTGTATAATAGCGCCATATATGATCCATTTGTCTCTAATTTTCTTTGAGTGTAAACGATAAAGAGCAATGGGTTCAACTCTGTAATTTTTTGTGCTGATTATGCATTCGTAATGCAGCAGTAGCAGTTTCAGATAGCAGAACTATGTACTACATATGATACGCTAATCATTACGTGCTTTTGTTCTTTGTGGCGTTACTTGTTTACTAATTTAAAAGATGTTATCTTCGTTCGCGATAAACAGGATTACAAATAAAGCTATTGAGATGGCGTAAGCTTTTGTTCAACATAACGAGTACATGGTTGCTTGTTATTTCTCACGTTGCGTCAGTGATCTCTCTATCGTCTATTCTTTTAAATTCCTTCTTACCGTCCCTTTGACTTCGTTTCACAGTCATTAATAATGATCTCTACGATATGTCGTTTTCGCAGCGGGACATTGTAGTATGAGATGCCTGATATATATATGGAGCCACTACTGATGTCAGTCACCAATTAAACGGTGCATATTGTTGCCGGGAGGCATAATTGTTATGGTCACTGTCCACAAAAGCGTTTCCGAAAAAAGAAACAACAAGTTAATGAAAGACGTGTGTATGACGATGGCGATCTTAGTGCGGAGGATGCAGGGACGGATGGTGCACTTTATTAAGCAAACTACACATACTACCGTTCTATAGGAATATGAGCTAAACTATACCTAGGCTATTTGCTTCATCAAGCACTACCTAGAGACTACACGATTGACAAGTACAGTAACAAAACAAATATTCTCCATGACAAGCCAAGTAGCTGACTTGTGCCTAAAAATTCCCTTTACCTTAGCAACAGGCTAAACACTACTCTTTGTTCCTTCCGCATGTCGAACAAATAGAGTTTGCTCCAATCCCCAACGGCTCCGTCACTGTTTCTGTTTAAAAAAAATATCAATATGTCTTCTACACTATCCTATAAACCGGCCACGCTGGCCCATCTCGACGTTATTGCCGACCTCGAAGCGAAATCCTACCATCCCGATGAAGCAGCATCGCGCGAACAATTGGCGAATCGCATCAAATACGCGACCGAATCTGACCCGAACTTATTTCTTGTCGCATGGCAAGGTGAAACGATTGCCGGGTTTGTGTGCACGACACTAGGTGCTGCGCCATTAGTGACTGACGAATCCATGAAGGCGCATGACCCAAACGGCAAGACAGTCTGTCTCCACAGCGTTTGTGTCAACCCTCAGGTGCGACGTCAAAAGGTGGCAACGCGACTTATGGCGCATTGGATCCAGGTGCTTAAGGATTCCTCCAAGTACAATCGCATTGCCTTACTTAGCCGTCCCAACTTGATCGGCTTGTACGAGTCGGTCGGTTTCAAAAACAGTGGTAAAAGTCAAGTCGTACACGGACCCGATCCATGGTATGACTGTATTCTAGAGCTTCAGTAGAATATGTAATAAAAGTATGTTGTAGCGTATTGCGTTATCAGGTGTTCTTGACAGCAGTTATCTTCATGTCTTTTCGTTTTCCTTTCGTTATGTATCTTAACGAATTTTAGATAAATAGAAGGAATGAACACTTTTTTTTAATTAGGAAAAGAATGGTCTATGTATGCGACCACTTAATGCACAAAGAAAATCCCCGTTTCCCTTTGTCCACTTTCAATACCAAAAACTCAATTCAGGACAAGCGATCGACCTGAATTTCAACAACCCAACCAACCAAAACGTAGACGTATCTACGGACAGAATCCGAAAGCGCTGCTACTCCTGCGACCCAAGAACAGACCCCAGTTCTAAACAATAAATCAGATCAGCTTGCTGAAATTGGTTCTGATATAAATGTTCTCTCATAGTGTAGAGTCAACAATAAACAGGGAGGATGAAAGAAGAGGTCATTGTTATTGATTTCAAGAAACACCAGCGGCACCGAAAGCTCTTTTTCGGATCTTCTTTGGGTTCCCAGTCTGGCTCGAGCACAGACTGAAGCGACAGTGTTAGTGATGACGAGGATGATACATGAGAAATCTTTGTAGACCGAATAATGTTATTAACGCCTGACGACCCGGATGGAAAACAGCAGGGACCAGCAACTGTACCTATCGTGACACCAGCAGCACTAACATCAGAACCTTCTTTCGTGTCTAATGCTGCCGGATCGTCCAGTAGTACTACTATCGCTACAACAACCACTACGGATATACCTCATGATCTTGTCGATCATAGCAATCGTCGCTCCACCTCAAGCAGCTTTTTCTTTACGCGCGACAATACAGTCTAAAGACATATTCAGTGGATCAATCAGCGTAATGACGAAGCGAATCTATCTACAGTCAGTTCGTACGGCTCTCTCAACGACAACAATAACAACAGCCAGCAACATCAGCACAAGAAAATAGAGTTTCATAATCGTCTCCGTAAGCTACTTTTCCTATGATTTGGCGGTCAAAAGCAATGGTTTAAATTTAAAGAGACGCCCATCACTTGAAACCCGTGGCGAGCTTGAAACGAAGGAGGATAGTCAAGGAATTATCGGGAGGATGAAAATATTCGCTACGATTTATATACCTTTTGGAGAGCGTACCACTTTGTTGCGACGGCAACAGGATGCTTGGTAAAGTGGATTGGTTGTTGGTGGTCCGCACACAATTACACAATGGTGGATATAGACGATACTAGATGATTGGACCGTGTATTGTACTTGCTAGGAGATGCAAAGCTCAAACAAACAAGCATACTTGACAGCCGTAATCCACTACACCAAAGACATCAGTCAAGACCAGCATTTGGGCCTTCTTGAAGCTCCAAACACACGCACAAAATACTTACTGCAGTCCTACGTCTCTTGTCATGGCAAAATCCTCGAAATTCAAAATCACGTGGCAACCAACTAGCTAGTGGATGCGAAATGCTTGCACATGCGCAATATTATGACGAGCTAGACACACTCTAGAGAAAGCGCAATTATATGGACATTACTTCTACGTTTGTACACGTCCAGTACATGATGCATTAGCTTTTACTTTACAGTTTAATGACTTAGAACTCGGACAATAACAACTTCTCTGTTTGTGTATCTCACAGAAAATACTTCGCAGAAACAAGGATACTTCACTGTCATTATTCGAGAACTCATCCTCCAAAAAATTAGTTTTTGATTTATACCATGCATATCCCTTTGAATAAGCCAGCAACGATGACGCTCCTCAATAATTCTTCATGCTTTACGTTTTAAAGAGAGAAAATGTATATATAAAAAACAGAAATTAAATCTTTGTAATTTACAGTAACTGCAATGAAAACACACAGAAAAGAAAAGACAGAAATATATATTGTAAATGTGATTATTTGGTCTTTTTGCTTTCTTCCTTTTCTTTTTCTTCTCCACCTTCCTTCTTCTCGGCCGCATCAGCAGAAGCAGAAGCATCGCCAACCTGTCCAAACTCATTGGCACGGGTTGGATCCACCTTGTACTTGTATCTTTGATAAAGGTACACAAAGAACACAACGTCGTCTCGAAGACATGCAAGACGATGCAATGTAGGCATTTTGATAACGAAAGCAAACAAATCATCTATCAACATACATAGTGTTAGCTACTTAATACACAGTTCTTGATAAGTTTATCGCTTTTTAGCTTCTACCAGACAGACTTACCAATAAATGTATTCAGCGATTTGTACATGAGGGTTCTCCAAGGCATATGAGCAACCTGTAGAAAGCCAAAACAGAGAATTGATCAGGCACCAAGTAACATAAGCAGTCATCCTACAAATATTACTTACACTCTTGAGACGATAGTTGATATAGAGCTGTGGCATCATGGTAATGAAACCAAACATGTACACGAACTCGACCAGCGTCTTGAGAACGTATGAGTACCAGCTCTTGTGCTCATCATACAACAGCGAGTAAACAGCATAGCCACCAAGCAATGGATACGCGATCCATCTAAGATATTTGAATGCAATTGCATCATACTCGGCGGTTTCATCCTCAGTGTCGGTTGTCTCTGTATCTTGGGAGCCGATCGAAGGCAGCAACGACCCAGGTTTCCAGACAAGCTCGTACTTGAGCGCCTTGAACACCTTCCATACCTCAATGACAAGACCAATACCCTGACTGAACAAAATCATCCAGGAGGTTTCTTGGTTGTTGTCCATGAGATACAAGAAAATAACGACCTGGAAAAAGATGTTGGTGATCAAGCTGCGAACGGATACACCAGTGCTGTTGTTCTTCTTTTTCCAGAATGCAATATCTAAATCGCATAATTTCATTAAAATCGAATGTCTCTCATACAACCTTATAGTCTGTTCCGCTAGTCTTACCATTCTTGAAAGCTAGGAATTCAAATGCACTATGCAAAAGACTGACAGCAGCAGTGGTGGCGAGTAAATAAGGATTGGTTTCCATCAATGTACGCTTGAGTTCATCCATTTCTGAAGAAGACATGCCACCCATAGGGCTGTTGGCCTGCTGTTTCATCGATTCGTCAAACATGGCATACATGTTGAACTTCCACATAGTGAGTGGTTCAAGATGGATGGTCAAAGGTAGAACGCTAGTAGAAGCATGCAATTTCAAAAGTAAGTTCGAAACACTTCATTTTCCCAAATTGTACATGTAGCTGATGCACCTGTTATTCCCATACCTCACGGTTTCATTGATGGCATATGCATTGGAGCGAAGGTGCCAGAATTCGTTAGGGAAGACGATAGGGCGATAGAACCCAATTTTACCGGTGGCATCACGATGAAGACCCGTATTAAATGGAATGTCTATCAGGTATAAAAGGGAAGAGTACCATTTAATGTGTCATGTTGGCTCCTTCTTATTGTTCTTGCCAACATTAAGTTCATACAAACTTACACTTCATCGTAGCAGGCTGCATGGCGTTTTTGGCAATAGGGCTCTTGGGATCGTTGATAATTGAAATGGTCATGTTTTCATGCCAGTAAGCAACCAGTGGAGCACGACGTGTAAAGGTATCGAGGATACTTGCTCCACCAGTCGAGCCATCTTCGGTTGTGGTCTATACACCAAGCAAGAACAAAGCTTAATCTCTCATATCCAGTATCAAATACCTTGGTAGAGCTGCTCAGCTTAACCCATTCATAGTCATGTTCTTACCTGCTCAATGAACTCTTCTTGTTCAACCTCCTCTTCCTCTTCCACTACATCATCATTGCCTAAATCCAATAACTTCTTTTGCTTGACTGTGGTCTTTTTGGGATAAAATTTGGTCAACTCTATTAAGAAACAGGTTTTTTGCAATCAACAACCGCCAACAAATGTACACACACGTCTAGAGCACGTTTCCTTCTCCTCTTCCAAGACACACGAGCAACTTACGATGACGATAATAGACGAGCGAATCAGGGGAAAAGCTGGGATTGTTTGGATCAATGGGTGCGCCTGCCTTGGTAACAAAGATATGGGCGTACAAACTACCATTATGTTGCAAGTTGGACGTTGTAGGGATCTCGATATGATGTTCACGGCTTTCCATAGCATCACCCAGCATGATATCGGACTGGTGCCATGAGGGTTTGGCATTATAGTCGACAAAGTATTCGTTTTCATTCACATAGATATCGAGTTCGACAGGCACATTGTTGGACCAGAGTGGGACGGCAGAAGTAGGCAAACGGCTGACGGGAATCTGAGGCGGATAAGGGTTATGGTACACGCCTGTAGGAAGCACAGGGAAATATTCGACTTGAGTCGCGCTTTCACCGGCGCCAACGATCCCTTCTTGCTCTGAGGCTTCATAGACTCCTGTGGTTGCTGGTTGTTGCTCTTGAGGTGTAGTGACTTTAGTCTTTGAGCCTAACTCCAACGACACAGAATGCACATGCCGTTGAAAACCGTTAGCGATGTTTAAAGTCCATTCAACCCTAGAGAGAGAGATCGCTTCTTAACGCATACCCATAAAGTACTGCATGGCTAGCCACATCAAAAGGGTTCGAAAAAGTGTGCCACCATATTTGGATAGGAATCCTTCATTGCGCTGTTCCTGCGCAGCGCCGGGATTAGCAGGTGGTGCTGGATCCGGCATGGTTTTTTAGTGTTTCAAAAGAAGTGGGGGAGACCGCGCGTATCAATGGAAGAGGTGTGGGCTGAATTTAACACGGGTGGTGTTTGAATTAAAGGACTCGAGATAAAGTTCTTTCTTTCTTGTGTTACGTTCGTCGAATAGCAAGATGACAACACAACAACCAGTTACCAGCTAACATGTTGCTAGCTCAAAAGTAAGGATAAAAGATCGTGGAGAAAAAGGACACGCTTTATTTGAGATTTGAGCAAAGGAATTAAGTATAAAAGAGAAAGAAAAAAGTACATTTGATGCAAAAGTAAGATGATATAAAAGCGCCAATCAAGCAATGATTAAAACACCTCTTCCGATCTTATCGCCTATCGCGATCACGTCTTCTACTACTCTTGTCTCGACTTTTATCCCTGTCCTCCGTCTCACGTCGTCGGCTTCTCTCTCGACTTTTGTCCTTTTCGTGGCCTCTGTCCCGATACTTTGATGAATGGTGTCTTGAACTACGATGAGATGATCTGGAAGAAGTGTGTCGTTCTCTGTGAGATTGAGAAGTTGTTGGTAAGCAATCTTTAATAAATGACAATACTGTTGCTGCAGTTTTACTAGAAACATCTATAATTTTATGTTTGAGCTGACCTGGATTTGGACGGAGATCGTGAGCGGCTTGTTGAACGTCTGCGGCTCCGGCTTTCGCGCTTGCTGCTACTGTTCTTATGAGAAGACGAAGGGGCATTGGCTGCACCACTAGGTGATCTGGAACGTGATGTTCGGCTACGCGATCTTCGGCGGCTACTACGATGACTATCTCTTCGAGGTGACCGAGAGCGCGAGCCGGGCGATCTCGACCGTCTGCTACTGTGATGTCTGCTACTGCTGCTTCGATATCTGATACTGCTGCCTCCAACGATAGCATCACCACCACCGCTGCTGCTGCTTTTTTGATGATGTGCATACCTCTCCCGTTCAGCACGTGGAGCAGTAGGAATCGCTTCATCAGGACCAGCCATATCGACGCCCTTTTGTTGATCCGATCGTTCATTATCATCTCCTCCTCCTCTTCGTGCGCCACCCTCTTCTTCGCCATCATGTCGATGCTTTTTGTTGGAGTGGATGCTATTGTTATGATTATCTATATCCATGCTTCTTCGTCGACCTGTAAAGATCTTGCCACCTCGCATCATCATTCCACCACGTCCGCCCCGGCCACCGAACCCGCCCCGTGGGTTAAACGATATAGGACCTCCAGGGCCACCAAATTGCATTATATCTTGAGGAGGTATACCCGGGAACGGTCCGCCCATACCACCAAACATTTCTTCTGGAGGAAATGTGCCCGGGAAGCCTGTTGGATTCATAAACGGAGGTCGAGGCATACCCGGAGGACCGCCAGGGCCACTCATTGGTATATCCATATCAGGCCCACCGAAATCTGGCGGCATACCTATATAATATTCAATAAATATACGTACATATATATTTTGTTAAGATAAAATAAATACATAACGATACCGAGTTACTTGACTATTAGCGATACTACTAATCAATTTACTATTATTGACTATACTATGTGAACAAAAGAAACATTATATACATTACCTTCACCCATACCAAATCCGCCTCCGCCTCCTCCACCTCCTCCTCCAGCAGCCGCAGCAGCCAATCTCATTTGCATCAAGGCCATGGGATTCATTCCTGGCGGCATACCCATCATCCAGTTCATGTCACCTGGCGAGTGGCCGCCCAACATCATTGGGTTGTTGCCAAAAGGTGGTCCGCCGCCACCGCCACCAGGTCCACTAGATCCGCCACCCATACTGTCAGGCATTGAGCCATCTTGCTTGTGTTTATTGCCTCGCGGTGTACGTTCTTCGGATTCAAAAACCTGAATAGGCATACCGCCCTTGTTGGTATGTTGCGGCACGTTATTTCTTGCCTAATCATTTAGTTAATCAAGCCAGTTAGCAAGATGCATTAACTCTACCAATTCAGATAATATTATATGTAAATGTACATATTCTACCTAATTTGTATACTTACTTCATGAACTGGTCCTTCTTTTTCGGCAGCTTGTTGACGCTGATACGATTGTTGCGATGGTTGTGGTAGTGGCTCTTCCTCTATCTTGCTCTCAGTTTGTTGCTGCTCTGGTTGCTGTTGAATATTGGTATTATCATTTCCTTCTCCTTCTCCTCCCACTGCTGCCGCCGACGCCGCCGCTGCTGCTGCTGCTTCTGCTTCCTTGCTTTGCTGTTGTTCCTTATATGCTTGTATAGTATTTCTCAATGATCGATTAGGGATAACAGCGCTTGAGGCCACGCCTTCTTTACCACAAACAGGACATGTGCTTGTTTTGTCGAGCTCCTTAGTGATACCTAATAGAAAAATTATTTTTTTACATATCTTATGAGTACACGATAATTAACGAAAAACATACAAATGATAGGGATAATGAAAAGAAAATGAAATGCTATTATAATCTATTGCCATCATCCGTGTACAGTATTTTCTTTTCATCCTCTTCTTTCTTTACGTCTTCTATACATTACAAATCCTCTACCCCGCTCCACAGATCATTCACCGAGTTTGCATGGATCCCTGCCGACTGTCCAGCTGCTAATGATGCCAAAAATCCCCCGCATCCGAGAGTGGTAAGAGTAAATGCAGCAATCCATCCGTGAACTCACTCCTCACCTCTACCTATTCTTTCCCCCACAATATCCCAGACGATCTCACGCACAGCTCAAATCCAGCCAGCCAGCCCACCTCTACCATATAAAAAGATTAATGCTTTCCAGTAGCTGGAAAGCATAAGAGAAAAAGAGATATAAACAAAGGAGTTGTGTGTTGATGCGCCCGATTTGATGATGATCCGCATTGAAAGGGTATTGATCGCTCTCGCTCTTGAAAAGTAGAGATAGTACAAGTAGCAGTAGTAGTACAATACGCACTAGTGGGTGCCATAGCAGAGATATGCAACGACAAAGGTGCATCCACTTTATACGATCCCATCAGCGCGTATGATTGTATATGTATAGTAGAATAAAAAGAAGGAGGAAAAAGAAAAGAAAACGAGTACAACGATGATGGAAATAATATAAATAATATAGCTTTGTACGTACACTCTTTACAGAACGACTTGCCACAGCATGGTACCAGGACCGCATCCTTCATCAAATTTCCACAGATTCGACAGATCAGTTCGTTGGGTTGCTGTTTCATGGAGGAAGAAGTTGCATCTCCTGCTGTTATAGCACCACCTCGCTGCTGATGCAAGTGTTGTTGATGTTGCTGACCAGACGGGCTAGTTTTTAATATAAGAACGAAGAAAACATTGATTGTCAAACATTTCTATGTACGTATAACTCATTCCCTGATATAATATTAGCAAAACACGTTACCTTCCATTCACCCCTGGTCTCGGTACGAATTGGCCTTTTGGTACGTTTGGACAATAGTAAATCCAATGGCCTGATAGTAATAATAATGATAATAAAATCGCATAGTCAGTATCGCCAAAACAACATAAAATATTACGTGCATCCATATAGATATATAATCACCTGGCTGTCGACACTTAAAGCAAACATATCCCACTGGTGGTTTTTGTGTTTCTGGTGGTATAGTGGATTGACTACTGCCGCCACCGCCGCTTACTCCACCAACAACCCCACCCATGCCACCGGCAGCACCACCGCCCATGTTGGGTCTTTGATGCATTTGTTGCATTTGCTGTTGCAACATCATTTGTTGAAAGTGAAGTTGCGGGTTCAGCATGGCCATATTCATCATTGGATTGAATCCTGGTGCGCTCATCATTGGATTGCCAAACGGCTGTGGCGATCGCATATTCGGTTTAGGACTCGCACCGCTTGTACTAAAGATTTATTTTGATCCAACAACAAAAGAAAAGCACTTAGATTTCGCAATTCATTTATTTTGTTTTTTCCGTAGAAAAAGATAAAGGAATGATTACCTTGGAAGTTGATCTTGTTGTTCATCCCATTGATCAGAGGTTTGTTGAAACATGGCCTGGATCTTGTCTTCTTCACTCTTTGAGTCTTGTTCGGTCATATTTTCAGCAAGTTGAGAAAGAAAAGAAGGCGGGCTGGGCTGGCGCGACTTTTACTCTCTTTTTTTTTGGCGTGAGCGGGAGCCTAAGTCGATATACATGAAATGTGCCTCAATATATCACCGACTTCATTACTTATCCCAGCTTTTACTGTTAATTACGATATTGATGCGCTCCAGCTCTCTTTTTTAACGACTATCTTAAGTGCCATTACAGGCAGTGTATATTTTACTGCCTGCAACGTTGTGGTGGAGCAGTTTACATATGCAGGGCTGTTAATATCGCTGCGAGACAACAGACAGTGAACACGATCTTTTCCACTAGGATTCTGCCATTGGAAAATACTTACTGTAAATAACCATTTTATCCACCGCTTCTATAGTCATCTTCCTCCTAATTGACCTTTGGCTCATCCAGTTGCCATGATGAGCTAGCAAACTGATAGTAGTACAGCTCCCTGCTTCCTCTTTTTAAAGCAATTATCAGTATGTGTTATTGGTACCCTTGTCGCGCATTTCTTCTCACTTTCGTTCAATTTCTTCCTATCAATGAGATACCAACTTAGCGGGCTATATCAGAGGTAATTTGACGCTTTTACTGGAGCTGGTGAATACCATCAACACACTAGCTGACAGTTCAACAGCATACATGGCAATAAATTTACTTATTTTTTCGAAGCCATCATTCTCCATCTATCTGTGGAGCAACCTGATTTGCATGACAAGAAAGACAAATACGGCTTTCCGCTAGACATGCTCGTCAATTGGGGCGACCAAGGTCCTTCCACCCGGTGCAAATGGGCTTTTGTAAAACGTTCGAATGCTACACCCTATCATCCAGAAGCAGTGATTATGTGGAATGGGCAGAGGAGTTTTTTTGATGACATGTACTGGATGCAATATCTCGTCGATTTTGTTGTCGCGATCTACGCAAGATAGCAGTATGCTATCACAATCCAAGAATTTCAAAAAACGGTTCAATGAGAAAGTAATTGTACCTTTTGTATGCTTTTTTTTATTCTCTATTTCAAGTAATTAAGTAATACAAAGGTTTTTGATTCGCTGTCCTGGCACTTATTTCTTCATTTCAGTAATTTTTTCCTGAAATGTGATTTAGGGTGACACTGATGAATGTGAAGACTGCGATACGACCCGTGTGTATTGTCGAGAGGCACCAGAACTCACAGGGTTCTACATTGAAGATTTCTTACCATTACCGCCACCACCACCACCACTTAACAAACATGGCTGATATGTCAGCGACGGCGTTTTCTTTACTGTTCTAGTCTCTTTTAAAGAAAATGCATCAATGCCTCTTTGGCGCTGATATTGAAGACCATGCCGTTGAAAGTCTGTTATTATAAGCCTTGCAAAAAGGCGGTATCAATTGTGGCGGTTATATTCTCTTAAATGATCCCATCTTTGAACTCTCGTACCTGGAAGATAAGGCGCTGAGACGAGATTATAGCTTACAGACCGCCAAGGCTACAGCAACGTCGGTTAGCGCAAAACAGGGACGACACGAAGCCTCAAAACATTGTCGCAGATACCCTCCCGGCTAGGCAAGAAGAAGGAGGAGAAGGAGGGGATGATGAGAAGCTCATTGAGTTATCTACGATGTCGAAGCATTTCATGCGCGAGAACTGCTTGCGAAAACTATCAACCATTGAAAGTGCACAGTCTGTGGCGGCAGTATCGAAGGCCCGATGTACCCAATTACAGTTTAAAATCGGCCCACGATTATGCTCATACTAGTATACGGTCAATCTACTGCAGTATCCGCTGCCACAAGAAAAGGGAACTCTTTATACCGTGTACAATGACATGACAATTACTTTCAAAGGAGCCGATTATGCAGTCCCCCACCATCCCTTTAATTTGAGCCCAAACATTTATCGCCCTTCCGTCGCAGAAATGGAGACAATCATGAAGAGCTTCGCTTTTTGTTACTTCAATACTTCCGAAAGCTTTTAAACAGATCAAAAATATGCCAAAAAGCACGAAATACAATCGTAGACTTTTAATGGCTGGCTGAAATGTTGATTTGCAGAGCTGAGCTCATTGTTCTTTATCATTTGCATATAAAGAATTAAAACAAGATACTCATGGTATCGACTATCAAACTAGAGACGAAAATATCATATATGGCGCCATCATTCAACGTTAGAAAAAATAGTGTTGCCGCGTTTAACTCCTATATCCCACGAGTAGCATTGTGAGCCTCCACCCTCCCTCCCTTCACAGACTCACATGCGCACACCGTCTAAAAGGATGCAACAGCTGTATTTTACTGATGTAACTCTTTACACATAGTAAAGGCTTATGGAGGTACAACACTTAAGACCATAATTATTTTACCAATCCGCCTTTTCCACTCTTTCTTAAGTTCGTAGAAGCGTGCTATTGCTTTTGTTGAAGGAGTGATTTGCCTGGAACGTAATCATGGGTACAGTTACCCTTGGCGCATTTTAATAATTTGTACAGTAAAATCACAATGCAATTTTTTCTTGTGTCGTAAAAAAAAAACGATCAGGGTAACGTCGCACCTTATGCACGGAATTGACGGGGTATATGTGGAAGGTTGGTATGGGTAGCAATGAGAACAAACAAAGCTCTCTTTGAAGATTGTGGCTTCTGCAAATTGCATGCGATTTTTCCAAACCTGTACTGCTCAAACACGTTAATGTCGTTTCAAAAGTGGAAACATTCTGCGCCCCAATCCACGTCGTTGACTTAATGAGAATAAGATTAAATATAAATCATCATTTGTGGTGGATAGTGGAGCTCCGTAAGTGTTGGTTGAACTGGTCAACAGATTCTTGGGTGGCCAGTAGCCAATCTATACATGCGGTGGATGGCGCTGTTGCCCTGTACGAGTAGGAACAGTATATCAGTAAGCCTCTTTTCTCATCTATAATGAATGCGCCATATAGAGCAACATTTAATAAATCAACAATAATACGCCGCAAAAACACATCTCTTAATCACCCACTGTGCCTAGACAGTCAGCATTTTAGCAGGTGCTGTTTTGAGCATATGCAAATGCGAAGAATCGAAACGCGATGGCGACGAAGACGGAGTCGGCGAAGGGGAAAGAGAAATTGGAGGTTGGTGAATTTTAAGTCGTTAAACATTCTCGAAAGGCTTATTATCAAAAAGTGCCTCAATTCTATGCAATGTGGTAGAAATGTGGGAAGTAGCATTTGAAGTAGTCCGGAGGGCGACTATCTTTTACGCATCATGTTTCAATTTCACTCTCACTGACACTTCCTGATACTCTGTCAAGATTTTTATCAACTCTTCTACTTAATCATATTGGATGAAGTGTTGCAGGAGATATATTTGTAGGTAGCATCGTCAAGACCGACAAAGAAACGATATCAAAAGAGCTACTTGCTCTAATATTATGACAGAAATTGTGGCAGACGAGCAGCAAGAGACGATGGTGAAAGAAACTAGATAAGACACAAAAAGAGAAACAATCACCACAGAGATTGTAGTACCCGATCACATCTACCTTAAAAACCACCAGCGACCAGCGCATAATATCGAATGAAGATATTCTTCGGGGCAACATTGACGACGGCGGCAGCGATGAGCCTATGTATAGTGTACATACGATACAATAGATTTCTTGAGAAAAACTGCTTTTGATATGAGTGATTCAATTTTGTACAATGATATTATGACCACCGCTAATGCTACTGCATCTCAATCTACACATACCTCTACATCTACTGGTGAGTAGTCATACACCAAAAAACAATTACATTCCAGTTTGTGTTTTACGTATAAATGTATATCATCAAAACTAGGATCACTGTTTACCTGCATATACGAGAATAGATTTAGTATTATACAAATGTTGAAGACTATAAATTCTAGTCAAGTGCGTGTCTCCTTATTCGTTTTCACGATCGCGTCAGATTTTAAAATATGCATTCTAGTCTAGGGCGCTGCTACTCATATATAGCAGCATAGTATACCAAATGCGAGAACATAAAAAAGTATTGATTGAGTGAGAGCAGTAAACTGGCTGGGGAGTTTATATGCGAGCTGCAAAAGTCGGGCCAGGTGGTGTATACATGTATAATAAGCCATGATGAAAAACAAATTTATGCTCGCCTAGCAGCACAGCACTTTAGCATCACAGTAATGTGATACGCAGTGGTATGGTAATGAAGTATAAAAAAAAATAGTAAAAGACAACCGGTGGTGAAAAAAGGACTTGCTTCAATTTAGAAGCTCAATCTCCTAAAGAAGGTCTCGCCGAGATTCGAACTCGGATAATGAGATTCAGAGTCTCATATGCTAACCATTACATCACGAAACCACTCTTGTTCCGCTATTCATCACTTTTTGAGTAGTTTTCAGAGTTTACGCAAAACTGTTAGAAAAAACACCAAAAAACTCTTCAAAAATTCAACAAAAAACCCCCACTCCTTCTCGTAAGCGCCGCGACCATCCTACCATGGACACCAGCAGCACTACGAAGAAATTCCAGTTCAATCGCGACGGCATTGAGCACCATTTCGCTGATTCCACTTCTGAATCAGCAAATGCACCATTCACCACCACCATCCCGACCAACATCGACTTTGGGATCAGCACCGCCCCATCCGCCACCACATCCGCATCCATCCATCCATCATCCACCGATTCCGACCTTCGCGCTGTGATTGCCAACCTCAACAGCACTATTGCTGGCTTGAGAGACGATTTGCAGGGCTTACGCGCAGACAATGCTAGCCTGCGCAAGCAGTTGTTTGCCGCCCTCGGAATTCAACCGCCGACCACGCGCACAGACCACCAAACCACCACCACTACCAGCACCACCAACAACGACGACTCGACGACCGCCGATTCGCTCATGGCATCGCGCCATGCACCGAAATCGGTGAAATCGCCTGCATCTGCCGCCACCACCAAGCTCACCAAGTCGCACGCTGCCAAAGGCAAAACGTCCACGGCAGCCAAGACCACCCACCACCCCAATAACAACAGCAACAACAACAACAACAACAACAACAACAAAAAACCTTCTTCCTGGGCAGCTGTAGCTGCTAAAAACACCCCACCAAAAGGGAAGAAGCGTCCCACCAACACCGCCACCACCAAGTCCCTCGCTGTCCGTGCCCTCCAAGAAAGCACAGGCCCATCGCAGTTCGACTTTGTGTACGTTCCTTGCCGCCACCACCTTCGCTACCATGATATCCGCAAGTTTATCAGCAGCCTGAAGATCCAGCAATCTCGTGTGCTGGACATTTACTTCCCAGCAAGAGGCACAGTTGCTCTCCTTGTCCACCACGACTTTAAGGACGAGTTAATTCGTTGCCTCAACGCCGAAAAAGTTACCCCCCGCACCACTTTCAACCAACTCGACGCATCCGTCATTGGCGATGCCAAGTACGCCAACGACAGTCAAGAAGCCCGCCTTGCCCTCGCTCAGCAACTATTTGCTGAGAGGATCAAACGCACTTGCCTTCGCCTTCCACGAAAAATAGGCATCAGCATCGCTCGTTTCTTCGCTTCTCCTGCCGCTGGTGCCTTGCAACTCGATAGTACCTGGTGGTCAGCATTTCTTGCCGAGTACAACCCACCAACACAACAACCAAGCACACCACCTGCACCAACACCAACCACCACTAACAACGCCACCGCCACAACAACCGACGACGTCGAAATGGGTGAAGATACGCCCAACGACAACGACGACTCCCCCAACAGCAGCGAACAGCAACATCAATGAGTAGTGATCGTTTAACGATTGCTACTCTCAACGTCCGAAACATACGAACTAATTTGGTAGGGGTTATAGACGCTTGTTTGGATGCAAATATTGATATTATTTTTCTCTGCGAAACTTACTTACGCCATGGCCGTTTACGCTGTCAATGGCAACAATTTCATAACTATGCACAACTCACGGAGGGCACCAACACCTTCAACCGCTTTGGCCTCTCCTTTCTCATCCGACCCGATTTCCCCTACGAGGTTCATCCCCTTTCCATCCGCAACGGTGAGGTACTGTCACTGAAAGTTGGCCCTTATACTTTGCATGGTGTATACCTACCACCAAAGCTTGATGCTGCAGTGGCTGCCGAGAGGTATACTTCCTTGTCAGTGGATCCATACACAATCATTCTTGGAGACTTGAATACGCGGTTAGGGAGTACCACGGGTGATGCCAGAGTCACTCCCGATCGTCACCATGCACTGTCTACCTGGATAAGCACAAAAGACTTAACCTTG